TGCCATAAAAATAGATTGTTTAAAATCTTGGTTGCCTAAAATAGTCCTTCTCATGATTTAATCTGCATACCAGTCAACTGAGGAACTTGTTGCAATGCATGGTCCCATTCAACATGTCTGGGATGCGGTTCTGCATTTCTAACAAGATCACAGATGACCCTGATGCTTCTAGTCCACTGACCACACTTTGAAAAGCAAGACTAGAGGAGATGATCAAGTGGAGGATACTTACTCTAGAAAGCTCTGATAGGATTTATTTTTCCCAGCAATCTAGTTATCCCATTTATTACTAAAATGTACTGAAATAATGGAAAATCATAAAACTACTTCATTAACGTAGGGATGTGAACATAGTAATGGAAAAACATTTTTCTCTTTCTTTTTTTCTATTTTTTCATCTCTCTCTGAATGAAATTCATTTATGCTGAAATGATTGCCTACGTGAATATTTTATAACAATGATTGATAGTTGTTTTACCATGTTAGATATCACATTCTTAAACTGACCAGTTCTAAGTATTTCCTCTTTTCCTTTCCAATTATTATTCTTATTACTTCTGCTAAAATTTTGAAATCCAGTTATATTATCCAGAAAAAACCTTTATCTAGTATTTTCCTACTGTTCTTCTTCTAAGTCTCCAGTTATGTTTATATTAATACTTAAATCAACATTCATGCTTAAGAATAGTGCTTGGCTCATTATATATGTGTAATGAATGTTTATTGAGTGACTTATTTTGAGGTACCAAGTGATATTCTTATAATAAGCCCATCTACCAGATGGAGTAACACTGCTCTACTTAACAAAAACAATTTTTGGCCCATACTTAGTCTTATGATATAAATTATGAAAACATTCAAATAAATGGGAGTAAATCAGCCTATTTTCTGATTGTTAATGCCTATGTTCAGGGAGCTTTTATTATCTCTTTATCCTTATGACATTGCACTAAGACATTCTTAAACACAGTAATTATAGAATATCAATTGCATTAGAATTCAACTCAAAATGTAAAGTGCAGAGAGATGTTCATATTAGGTGGTATCAATTTCATAAAATAATTATCAGTGCCTGCCATTTGTAAATGTGATTTGGGAATCCATTCCAAGTTGGTCATTTTAGTTGATCTCTCAAATATCATGTGTGTTTCTGGTCAACAGCAAGGTCTTTTGTGCTAGAGCTTTCCTGAAAGCTTTCTTCATGTCTTTGCTTCTCGGGGTGTATTTGAGAGGATTTACCAATGGGTGACCACACAATAGAACACTAAGACCACTTTAACAATTGTGAAGTTGTACTTGGCTGGAGGGTGAACATAGGCAAAGATAATGATGCCATAACAGATGGTGACCACAGTGAAGTGGGGGTACAGATGGAAAATGTCTTCTTCCAAGCCTCCCTGGAAGACTGTACAATTATTATGACCACAATGAGTCCACAGGCAGATGTAGTGAGAAAGTAACAACTTAGAATCATGACAGAGCTACATTCTCCACCAAAAAAGTATCTGAGCAGGACAGTTTATAAATGGCATCAGAGTCATAAAAGAAATGGTTGATCTTCTGGGGGCTACAAAAGTTTACACAAGAAAGGAGCGTGGTAGATGAGAAGTGGGCAATAAGGCCCCCAGTTCCAGATCCAGCTGAAAACCACAGGCACAGACAAAAAATTCATGAGCAAGTAATGTAGAGGGCAGTAAATGGCCAGATATCTGTCATAACCCATCACTAGTAAAAGGATGCACTCTGTGGCTCTCATGGAGAAAAGAGAAATAGTATTGAGTTATACGAGCAGAAATAGAGGTAATGACAACTGGGAGAGGCAGGTGGCCAACAAATTAGGCGATGTGGCTGTGGGGTACCATATTTCCAGGAAGGAGAAATTTCCTAAGAAAATGTACACGGGCGTTTGGAGTGTGGGTTATATCACAAAAAGAAAATGATGAGGATGTTTCCCATAAGGGAGAGGAGATACACAGTGGGAACTATCATAAACAATGTGAGTCACAGATAGAGAACACCAGAAAACCCAAGAAAAATAAACTGTCACTGCAGTTTGATTTGTGACATCCATATGTTATCTTCTTTGACTTTGCATGAGCCACCAAATAACAGAATATTATTGATGAGCAAAGAACAAGATTAGAACATGTTTATATTCATTTATTTCATGATGATAATGAACCCTTAATAGTAATAAAATTGATGTCTGGCTAAAACATAATTGGCATTTTATAAAAATTTTACATGGATTGCCTCAGTTGATTCACAAGATAAATCTCCGTTATAAATATTCTAATAATCTTCATTTTACAAATGAAGAAGCTTAAGGGAGTAAATAGTTTTCCCACAATTACTTCACTTTAAGTGGTGGGTAAAGTTTTGAACTCAGGTAGGTTGATTCAAAAGACAAGGTCCAAGCTAATAGGAAAAATGTGATTGGGTGATTGTCTCATCACTGAGGAATTCAAATCCTAGACATTAGAGGATTATGAATAAATCTGTAGACATTGCAGATAAGGGACCAGTAGATCTCAGGGGGAGCATGGGGTGCCACTCAGAATGGAGATTCTAGGCCATGCTAGTTGTCACGTGAAGACAAAATTTTATCTTCAAGATCTCTGATTTAGTCCATCAATTAGACTTATCTGAGAGATGTGTAAATGAGTAAACTATATCTCCAGAAAACAGAGAGTAGGATTCAGAGTCTATATGGGAGACATTATGTTTATAAATATTAAATTTCTTAATCTTTGGCTTGTCTGTTTTTAGAATCATCACATTCATCTGATTTCCTACATTTCTTGGGAATAGGCAAAGAAATAAATTTTTTAAAGTATCAGAAATCTATTTATCCTTCAATAGACAGTGAAGTTGTTTCCATATCTTGGTTGTTGTGAAAGAAGACAACATGAGATCTACCCACTTTCCAAATACTTAAGTGTACAATGCTGTATTGCTAACTACAATTATGTTGTGTTTACACCATAATAAAAGAAAGAAATTTTGTCTTTAAAGAAACACAGAGTGTTTCTTTAAACACATGAGTGTCTTCATGTATACATGTGCTTTAGCACCAAAGGATACCAATGATGAGTGTAAAGTACAGCAGAAAAAAAGTTTTAGTACTCACAATAAAAACATTCTTGTACATGTGATATTTTGATATTCTTTAAAATTCTCTGTATTAAACATATAGACTTGATATCTCCTATATCACAATGAATAAATCAGTTGAATGAAAAGCAGGGGTAATCGGACCCATTCCAACGGATTTTTTGTTAAACTTTTATAGAGTTTTGGAACCATAAAACTATTAAAAATATGTGTATGGGGGCAGGCGTCATGGCCGAGTGGTTAAGTGCACGTGCTCCACTGCAGGCAGCCCAGTGTTTCATCAGTTCGAATCCTGGACGTGGACATGGCACTGCTCATCAAGCCACGCTGGAGTGGCATCCCTCCTGCCACAGCTGGAAGGACCCATGACTAAGAATATGTACAGGGGGCTTTGGGGAGAAAAAGGAAAAAGAAATCTTTAAAAAAATATGTATACATTTTATGCCACAGCATTAATGGTCCACGTGTTACATTATTGATGTAGCAGAGAATCGTTCAAGATACAGATCATAGAAATTATCACTTAGATGTAAAGAGTCAAGAAAAGTTGGTAAGGAGAGGAAATATTTATTTGTTCCACTACACCAACCTGTAGGTAGAAAACCCCTAAAAATGGCAGGATTTTTGATATTTTACTCTAACAAAAATATCCTTGTACTTTTTGAAGTCTACAACTATTCAAAGACATATATTTTTAAATTTATTTTGATGAGTTTACATTGTTTTATAACATTACATAAATTTTGGGTGTACATCATTATATTTAGACTTCTGTATAGACTGCACTGTTTTCACCACCAAAAGTCTAGTTTCCATCCATTCACCACACATGCGCCTCTTTACCCACTTCTCTTTCCCCCCATCCACTTCCTCTCTGGTAACCACCAGTGTGTTCTCCATATCGCTTTGTTTGTTTGATTATCTTCCATATATTAGTGAAGTCATACAGTAATTGTCTTTCTATGACTTATTTTGATTAGCAAAATGCCTTTAAAGTCGATTCATGTTGTCACAAAAGTCACAATTTCCTCTTTAAAATACGATTAGCAAATACACAGAACTTATAATTTAAGAAACTCATCAGATGAAAGAGTTTGGGATGTTTTTAAAATATATTTCTTTATTTTGATTTTCTGGCTCCATATGAAAAAATTTATGTATACTATTATTATATTATGTATAGTTATAAATTATACTGCTTATATCATTCATTTATATTATGGTATTCATATATTTTATTTATATTATTCATTTTCAATCAAAAGTCCAAGATATCTGTATTCTTATTATGTAAAGAAGATTGCATGGCTATTTTTATCCTAACACAGAAAAAGCAATAACAATTTGAAAAGAAAAATTATAGCACTTTGGCAACAGAATTAAGTCAAAATCATGTCAAACAGAAAATATCTTTTTTTTTCTAAAATATGTTGCAACTGTCTAATTCTGCCTTTGGTAAAAAGAGGGTTATACACTCTTTCACTGTATATAATCTTATAAGGAACTGGGAATTAGAGAAAATTCCTTTTCAGTTAATATTTTATAAAATTAAATAACATTTAAATATGAAAAATAACTTAGATATCATTTGACATACTTATTGTTTTTAATTTATTACTTATTTTCACTAATCCTACATGCTAAGTGAATGCTAGAGGAAGTTTATTGCCTCTGATTACAGAAGTGTCTAAAATTATAAAAGTACTGTAAATCCACTAATCTTTAGAAAAGGCAGAAATAACATGAATGCTATAAATTAAATTTCCCTTTAAACGTTGCTTTTCAGCAAGGCTATGTATTAGCAGATAAGGCAATGCAAATGGATCATAAGAGAAGCTAAAAAGTCTCTTCAATGCTATGTCATTGTCTGTCTCACACCTTCTATGCTACAGATAAACACTGAATTCCCTGTTTGTTTGTTTGTTTTATTCCACTTTTTCCCCTTGTAGCCACGATGCAAGGAAAATCACAGTCTGAAATCCTTCTTGTGACATTTAGTAAGATTTCCTCAGCCTGGAGCCTTGGAGATCTGCCCTCCAACTTCCAATATCCACAAAGATCACATGATGACTTTCCTTTGGTGAGAGGTAGAGTATTCTCCCTTTGGGACAAAAGGAACAACAAAGTGTGGGGAGCAACAGAAATGTATCCATAGGTACTTAAGGAATAGCTTCCAAATTGACTTCATTAGCTGCCACTGCCTGCAATATTCACACTTCATTTATGATTACAGAATTGCATTCCTCAATATTTCAGCCACCACAGCATAGCCAGAAGATCATATTCTCTAGCATATAATGCACACAATACATCACATTTAAAAGTCTTCCTTTACAATAACAGAGCTAAAAAACAAACAAAACAAAAAACAACACTGACATGGAATCTCTTTACAGCAAATAACTGCACTAAAAATCATTTACTTAGTGTGTGTGGAAACAATACTGCTCAATGTAGTAGATATTGAAGTTGAGTCATGTCACAAAAAGTTTGTCACAAGAGCATAGAGAATATGTGTAGACCATATGAAAAACTGGCAATCCATGGGGCAAAAGAAGAAGAGAATGATGATATAGGACATTGAATAAAATAAACCTAGACAGGTGTGGTGGAAAGAGAACTCAGAATACAAGGTTGAGGTTGTTCACATCAGTCAAGGAAAACAATGTTTTGTTCAATATATTATTTGTGAAAATTGGTTAGCCTACAAGCAAAATGTTAAAAAACTCTCAATCTTTATGCATAAATAAGAAGTGGATCAAAAATTTATGCAAAAAAGAAAAAAATTGTAAAAAAGTGGTTATCATTGAGAAAATTAAAGGTACCAGGAGATACTGGAAAATGTATGGAGGCAGTTTGTTTGAAGGAACATGGGATGTTGGTGGCATGTTTTGATATGAGCATGAAGAATGCTAAATATCTCAGGATGCCAAATACCCCACACAAGGTATTAACAGTGATCCCATTCAGAATCACTGGCCTGAAGACAATATAATGTTTATTGAGGTCACGTTGGTTTATAAAATTATGTAAATTTCAGATATATATCAGTAATTATCCAAAGAACATGAAAACACTAATTTGAAAATATGCATGCACCCCTATGTTCATTGCAGCATTATTCACAATAGCCAAGACTTGGAAGTAACCTAAAATAAATGTTTTGAGCTATAATTCAAATAATATAAAATACACCCATTATAAGTATAGGGTTCAATGAGTTTTGATAAATGTATACATGTATGTGACTATCACCATAATCAAGAAATACAGCACTCTGGAGTGACATCAGCAACATGGTGGACTGAGTTGTTCCCTTTATCTCTCCCCCTTTGAACTACAACTAAATGGGCATTCATTGTCCAACAGAGGTTACCCACACAGCACAACAGGACACCTGAAAGACCCATAAAGCTCTACATCTGAAGGTGGATGGATTCACTGTGCCTCTGAGAATTAGTGGAGATAGGTGAACACTCCCTCATGCTGCCCCACGAGACCTGTGTGGGCACACAAATGCTTTCCTGCTGCCGAGACCAGCTAGGCAGCCAGCTGAAGGGGCAGATGGAATTAATATACAGAATACATCTATATAATAGACACAACACACTCTATATTATTTAATGGGACAGGGACCATCAGCGTCAAGGTCTGAGTTGACATCCCTCTGATGGCCATGTATTTATTTGCAAGCTGAAAAGTACAAGCATAGCAGGAACTCATGCCTGCAGGAACATGCAAGTCAAAGCTCAGCAGTTCTAATCTTCCCCCTTTAATGTACCCCGGCCCTATGCAAGGCCATTCTTTGAGAGAACATCCTGTGAACAGACAATCTGGCAAGTTATGCAGAGGGTGTTCTGTTCCTGCAAGGGCCCAGCGTTCTTAAGCCCCTTGTCTTCATGTTTGGTAAGAAACTACCTTCTGGCCTTTGATTCCAAAGCACAAACTGTCTAACACAGTAATTTATGAGAATCACCAAGTTGCATATTTCTCAGTCACCCATTTTGTAATTTCTTCTTGCTGAGCTTAAAGCCTTGCAATAATGATGCTATGCTCTCCTGCAACACTTTCGCAGCAAGGAATGCCCATAGTGACCATGCGGTCCCACAAGTGGGAAGGGACCTTGGCTTGACTGTAAGAAGAGTCAGAGGCAGCTCTGAGGCATTGCATGAACACTTTCCCAGCTGACAGGGGAGCCCACTATGCTGCTACAGTCCCAATGGCTGGGCGAGGCTCAAACCTCATGAAGAAGTGCCAGTCACCAATCACAGTGGCTGGTCTGACCATAGGAAGAAGTGGTGGGAGACACATACACATGTATGAAACTTTGTCAGCCAGCAGGAGCACCAATAGTACTTCTGAGGCCACACAAATGGGAACACATGTCATTGTGACTGTCAGAAGAAGCAGAGGCAGCCTTGAGCCCATGCATGAACGCTTTCAGAGGTGGGAGAAGAGCCCACTGTGCTGCTGTGGTTGCAAAAAGTGGCTCAGGCTCAGTCCCCATGAAGAAGCCCTGGCCACCAAGAATAACAGCTGGCACAACTCCCAGAAGAGGTGGCAGCAGATCTATGAATATGCATGAATGTTTTCATGGCTACCAGGTGTGACTATACTGCCACAGTAACCCCACAAGTGGGGATGCATCTTGGTATGACTGTAAGAAGATATGATGGCAACACTGAGCTCAGCCATGAATGCTTTTCCAGCCAGTTGGGGTGCCCACCGTACCCCCAAAACTTCCAGCAGATGGGGTCAGATCAGAAACACAGCTCCTGTTTCCTCCTAGAGGTAGCAGGTGGAATCTGTGACTTGATACTAACATAAATGTGCTAGCAAAAGATTAGTTCATCAAACACCATGGGAAACTACAGCAACAATTCAGAGAAGGAAAATAATGAGTCTCCAACATCCAGCTCTGAAGTCACAGGAACTTACAATCTAAATGACAGAAAATTCAAAATAGCTGTCATAAAGGAACTCCATGAGTTAAAAGAAAATTCAGAAAGACAATTCAATGAGCTCAGGAATAATATTAATGAGAAGAAAGTGTACTTCACCAAAGAGATTGAGACTATAAGAAAAAAAAAAAAAAACAAGCAGAAATTCTGGATATGAAGAACACAATTAATGAGATAAAAAATAATTTAGAATTCTTTAAAAAAATAGAGCTGATGTTATGGAGGAAAGAATTAGTGATTTGGAGGATAGAAATATAGAACTACTTCAAGCAGACGAGTAGAGAGAACTAAAATTTTAAGAAAATGAAGGGATTCTTCAAGAAATATCTGACTCAATTACGAAAAGCAAAATAAAGATTATAGGTATGCCAGAGGGAGAAGAGAGGTAGAAAGGAGCGGAGAGTTTGATCAATTAAATAATAGCTGAGAACTTCCCAAACCTGGGGAAGGAACCAGACTTACAAATACATGATGCCAGGAGCCGTGGCTACATCATTTGATTGGCTGTTTGACAGGGTCCAGCCGATTAACGCCTAGGGGTGCAGGGTAGCCCCTTGGTGAAGAATAACTGGCCAGCCCCTCACGTAGTTCTGAAACCTGTGCTGCTTCTAATTGCCCTTCATTCCTTTTCCTTTCTTAACCTCCAGGTTTCACTCCTTTTGGTGGCTGCTTGGGAGGCACTACCTCCGGGGAAAATTAGATATAGTAAGAGAATGTGACCACCTGCAGGTAACTTTCAAGATATTTTTCAGTTAATTATTGGAGGAGCACACAGTCCCATTTGAGACAAGCAGAAAGGAATCCTACCCAGATAAGATGTCGAATTAGGTTTATGGCCTCTATCTGGTTAATGTTTCCTTCTCCCTCCAGTTCTTTGTCTAAATATATATGCATCATCCTTCTAAGTTTGCTGGTTAATTGGATGATCAAGAAGTATCTACATATTATTCTTGACCTTCTGCTTTCTGTTAAAATGTTATAGAGGTTTTCTCCTAAAAGCAATAAATAATAAACAATTGATGAGTAGAACGGCCGAGGGGTGCAGGGATGCCCCTCTGTGAAGAATGGCTGGCCAACACCCCTGATATTTTCTGAATTATATGCATGCTTTCTAGCAAGGTTATGTCTATACTTATTTCTGTTTTTTACTCTTGAAGATATATAGTTTAGCTTAGCTTTTCAGCACTTTACTTTACTAACAAAATGGTACTTTCTCTGGGCAGTGTGCTTAAGGGACTGTTAGCTCCACAATCTAAAAGACAAAGGAATGCTTTCACCCCATAAAGGGCGCGAAAATGTAAAGATGTTTAACTGCCCGCTGAGAATGCAGATAGCCCTGGGGATAAGATACCCTGGAGTCGCCTTTTGTTCCCATTAACCATCTACACTAATGGCATAAATGATTGAGGGAGGCAGAGATGGCTCCCCCAGGATGTAAACAGAAGGACTGCTGTCCTGTCCGGATGCCTGGGCCTTCTCTCTTTGATTTAACTTTACCATGAATTACAACAGGTGTCTAGGTACCTATCTCTTTCAGCTTAGAGACAACAAACACTAGTTAGTTGCGGAGAAGATGATCATTAACCTTGTGCTATATAGAATGGAACGCTAATAAATATTCTTGTGCTCTTTTTTTACTTCCTTATCTCTCTGAGAATATTTGTAGAACCATTTCTGTACTAATCCTGAAAAATATATAAACGATACTTGTGCACAGTAAAGTCGGACTTGCTAGCACCAACCCAAGTCTCACGTCCTCTTTATTTTCCCCTCCCTCAGTTTTTCGCCAATGCCGTCTCTCCCGCGGGAACCTGGACTCTGCTGAGGCAGGACCCCGGCAACATGAAGCTGACAGAACTCCTAATTCCATCAATGTTAAAAGACCCTCTCTGAGGAACATAATAGTACAACTGTGAAAAGTCAATTAAAAAATCCACAAATACTAATGGCAGCAAGGCAGAAGAAAATAACCTAACAGATTTATCAGCAGAAACCTTACAGTCTAGTAGAGAATGGAATGATATGTTCAAAATACTGAAAGACAAAAACTTTCAGCCAGGAATACTCTATCCAGTGAAGCTATCTTTCAGATACAATGGAGAAATCAAAGCTTTCTCAGATAAACA